CCACAGTATAAATTTATTCGATAGTAACGCTGCAAAAGCGTCTTTAGAAATTACAAGCTTTTTGCATTTATGCAGAAGCTATACGTTTTCTTATTCGCATCGACGTTGGAAGGTCTTAAAAAATGAAATCCCAACTATAGCACTTAAACTCTTTTCAGATACTAGATGGACAAGCAGAATAGATGCGCTTAAAGTTCTTAGATACAATCTAACAAAAATATATGATGCTTTATACCCCGTATTCTAATAATACTAGGGACTCTAAAACTAGAAACAGCAAATTCATATCGTTTGAAAATTAATTACATTGTATAATAATATATATGTTTGTGTATATGTTACGGGCAGTGTTGTAAATTGGGCACTGACGATATTGACCGGACACTAACGTCAACAGAATGCCCAATCAAATAGGAGATAGGAAATATCATCTTTGACCGTAACATATATATGTATTTATTTGGTTATTATATTAATAAATTAATAATTTGTTAGTGTGTCAGTTTGTAACTAAACAATAATACTTCTAAATAATTATTGTGTTTTGTTTAAACTGTATTGCTGTTTAAACTCATTCCGTACATGTATATGTTACGGTCAAAGATGATATTTCGGTCTTTAACGATATTGGCCGGTCATTGTCGTAAATTTCCTATTTGATTGGGCATTATTGATAATAACCGGCCAATAACGTAAACATCTGCTTAAATTGGATAATGTTGATAAATCATAAATGACATAGCCTTTTTACGACTCTTCCCGGGCGTTATCGTTAGCGCCCACTTATGCGTGGGCCGCAAACCGCAACGATTTGGATTTGAATAAAGTACAGGGTTATGTTTTTGCTTACATCGCTATTTTCTGGCTTGAGCCAGAGAATCGTTGAGGAAGCAGGCTGAAAAGATGTAAAAATTATTCGATGTTCAGGTTGGAACTACCGTTCGAGAACCTATACCTGATGTCGATAGAGCCCGTTGATCACCTCGTAATATATTAGAAGTATCAGCACTTCTGAAAACGGCCTCTATAAACTTTGTAAGTATTTTTTATTAAAATACCTACCTTATAAAATATTGAGTAACAAAGATTATTCTAGGCACAAGCAAAGGAACTCTTAAGCAAACATTTACAAGATCTGAATTCAATCCATGTTTGGAGAAGCTTATATTATTGGAAAACCTTAGTGACGCCGTTAAAGGAAAATAAATCTCACTTAAAGAAGCTACAACACAAAAGACTGTTTTTAGAACAAGGATATAAGCGTTGTTACTGTAAGGGTGGGTGCAAAAACAATAAATGCGCTTGTCGGGCCAAGCCAAACATTTCCAAATGTCATGGATCATTATCATGCTCCAATAAAAGTGATTAATAGATAATTATAATGTTTTCACTAGTAATACACTAGAGGTCAAAAAATTTCCTGATATTAATTTGACCTCGCGTGGTATTCGGTAAGAAAATTCCGCGCCGAATTATGGTTGAAAATTAAATATTTTTAAAATTTATTTTTCGTTTCTCAACAATGCAAATTATTTTCTCCAAGTCACCAGTGAAACATAAAAGGTGTTGTCGCCTTGATTGTTGAGTTGTCATGGTAACTAAGTGAGACCCTAACCTCGAATATAATTTCAGTTTTGAAGTTGTCAAGCGGCCCGACGTAAAAAAATGTTTCGCTGCAATTATTTAGGCCTTCAAATTGCTTATTTATACTCATTGTAGTTGCATGGGAATACCATTTGAAAATAGAAAATAGTATATTCTTTAATTTTACGTAAGTTTTGAATTACTACAAGTGGTAGAAAATTGTTTTTCTGCGTTTTTATTAACATGCGTTATGAGCGCTTTAAAATGGTATGAAATTCATAACCAGCGTCAGCAAGCATCAATCGTAGGAGGCTGTGATCATTGTATTTTGACAGTTCAAAACATTAAATAACTCGCGTTTTGTTGCGATAAAGAATATTGCATAGCAAGTAAAACCAACAAAATTACCTATTTGTTTAAAAATGAATCGATTTGAAAATCATACGCTATGCAAAATATGCGTGAAATTGTCTGATGTAATGATCAATCATTGCACCATGACTTACTTACTCGGATTAATAGAGGATTGTGGCTCCAACTTGAAAAACGAAAATTTGTTCCGAATTGTCCACGAATATTTGCACCTAAACTACGCAAAATTCAAAGTGCTGAATGGGAAAAAGGTGAATAAATTAGTGTCTAAATATTATATATATTTTATTAGACAAAGACACATAATTCAAAGCATCCAAAGTCCTGCATTTTCGCCATTAAGAAGAAATAGAAAACACCTTAGCATTGTAACTAAAATGTATCAAAACTAAACCTATTATGTGAACAAATAAAAACCAGTCTGTCAAAAATGGTCTGTTATTGTAAACGTCAAAAAATGTCCAGTATAATTCGCTGTTGGGTACCCCACGAGAAAAAAATGTCCACTAAAATACCTCCGTTGCCATGGTGATCTGTCAAAAACACGTATTTTGATTGGTTCAAAATTACAGGTGTGGAATTTTCATGTTAATTTTACAGTAGCTTACCGGTAAAGAGTTGAAATTAAAAATTTTAAGTCACAGTACCAACCTAATTCTTTAATATCGACTTCACTCTCTTATTGATACTCAATGTCATTAATGGCCAAAGATGAAAAAAATAATATTCAGAGTGACCCAAAAGTCTAGAAACGGCAAATTATCTCGTAATTTGCTAGTCCTAATTGTACAAAATTTGGGGTACACCTATTTTGGGATACGGAGATTCCAGATTTAATATTTTTAATGTTGCCAGATTTTCCGTTTCTCTTATATTATTAGTCACTTTGGTTTTTCAAATTGATCACCCTGTATATTAAGTCATTGCTGGAATCTCCTATTCAATACGAGTTTAACCATATGTAACACTTATGATTTTATGTAGTCTAGAAGGTCTTAAATAAATAAAACAGAAGTCTGGCAACGCCAAATTGTCTCATAAATTTTTTAATACAAACTATTTTCAACTACATTAAAACGTAACAATTGAAAGATTACACCATTTTTAACATAATGTTTAAAATGTGCTTCATTTGTGAGTTGACAGTACTCTAATAGATGATAGACATTTACCACATGTCTCCATGATTGTTTTATTTATTTAAGACCTTCCAGACTACTTAAAATCATAAGTGTTGCATATGGTTGAACTCGTATTGAATAGGAGATTCCAATAATGACCTAATATACAGAGTTATCAATTTTAAAAACCAAAGTGACTAATAATATAAGAGAAACGGAAAATCTGGCAACATTGCAAATATCAAATCTGGAATCTCCGTATCCCAAAATAGGTGTAACCCAAATTTTGTACAATTAGGACTAGCAATTTACCAGATAATTGGCCGTTTCCAGACTTATGGGCTACTCCGTATTTTCAACAATGTCCATTCATTAATGGTCGATGTCGTTAATGGCCGGACAAAGATGCAAAAAAAAATATTATCAACATTGTCCACGATTAATGGACTCTTTCGTTACTGTCCAGATAATAACGATATCGGCCAGCAAATATGGCTGCTGACGTTAGTGTCCGGTCACTATCGTCAATGCCCAATTTACAACACGGCCCGTAACATATATACTGTAGAAATCTTCAATTTTGTTGTGTTACTAATGAGAATGAGTATATAGGGTGTTACAAAATGTTGTAAAGAAAATTTAATGGTAGATTATACATCTAAAAATCTATATATAAATAAGCAAAGACAAAATAGAATTATAATGGACTAATAAAATTAGTCTATACGAAACATGAGCACTTTTTAATTCTGAACCGACATTAAAATATTACATGGACAGATAGAGGTTTGCGAAAACCGAAAATTCCTTCCTTATTTTCCTTCCCCTTCTCTTCCTTTGTCACGCCTAAATGGTAAGGGATAGAAAAAAATTAAATGCGGTACCATCGGCCCCGCCTAAAACAATTTTAAACTGCCCAACTTTCCCCCACCCCTACCTCACCCCTCTACCCCAATGGAGGTCGATATATTGAACCCCTAGACTTAGGAAAATGAACTTCGAATACGACAGATTGGACTTTGAGACGAAAAAAATTTAACCCCCAAAGGACAAGTAATTAAGCCCCATTTTAAATGTTGGTGGGGGGTGAATTCTTGCCCCTCCCTTAAGTGTAGATGGCGGTGAAATATTTTGTCCTAATTCGAGTATTTTGAGATATTGTTTGTATAGATAATTAAAAAATTAAAAAAATTCGAACTAGCCTAATTTTTTGATACCTTTTCTGGGCAGTTAATGATTATTTTTAATATGGTTCATGACAGGGTGTAAACTGAGGTCGAATATATAGAGCGATGGGGTTACCCACACCCAACCCTCTTTGCGTTTCATATCAATAAATAGCGTTTTATTGGTATTTTATTGAATTTATTTTTTATATAATTTTAATGGCACTGAACTATGTTGTATCGTAAGTGCAAGGTTTATTGTTGAATATATAAGAATTAAAAAAAATGTTAGAAACATGTACATGCATATATGTTTTCCTCAAATTTTCAATAATGATTATGGTCGAATTTCGACAACTGGGCGAAAACTAATATAAAAAAAGTTCATATAACCATGGGTCCGAAAATGCTGTCAAAAACCAGTGGCGTATAATATTTTTTTTGCTAGACATACAGAGTTGCCGACACGAACGCCACTGATTTAAGTGTTTTAGAAAACAAGTTAAAACACTCCATATCATGAAAATTGAGCATTACCGAAACCGTGTTTATGTGACCTTTTATTATTTTTAGATGTAAAATTTTCTATTAATTTTTTTTACAACATTCTGTAACAACCTGTATATTCTTATTTTGTTACCGAATAATAATGCTCGCCTGGTTGGTAAGTAAATAAAATGATACGAAATTAATAAAAACTAACGCTATATCAAAATTACTACTTACTAGCTTGAATGGTCCATTTTTTTTAACTTACCGGCTATATCGTCCAGTGTAGTAGTATCATCATCAGCCAAAATACCCTGCACAAAATCCGTACCACTTAGCGCCCACAAAAACAGCATCCACCTTTGTAAGTACATCGCACGAAATGACCGAAATCGTTTCAAAAAAACTTCTTAAGCCACCTCCGACTAGTCGCTCGTCGGTGTCAATCTGGTGTCGCCTTTGTAAGCAGTAATCAGAGCGTATTTTTTAAAAGAATCAGCTCTCACTCTTCCAACTGAATTCAATTGTAAATAATAGGGTTTTTGATGCGAAAAACCAGGTCGATGTTCGCTATTGTCGAAGAAGTAAGTGTACACTGCATTTCTTAGCCAATTTCTATCAAGTTATAAAAAGAAATGCGGGATTTATCGGGGGAAAAAGAGGAAGTAATGCATTCCGAATGGATTATGTGACAATACGGTGAAATTGCAAGTTAATTTGCGACAAAGATTATTGACACGTGCTTAAGAAATGGTAAAAAGTGCCGCAGAGATCGGTATTTAGCCCTCTCTGGATTTAAATTTAGTACATAGATACATTATGTCAGAGAAATATTATTTGTAGATATTGTAGGGAACCACAGTCAGGGGTGCGCCAAGTCTCCTTTACGCAGTTGCACAGTGGTTCCAAATATCGAAACTGTGGTCAAAAATCCCTGATTGAATGTTCGATCTAAGAACCGATTCTAAAATTAGAATTGCACAAGTGGCTCTCGACACCTATGGTTATTTTAATTTCATAAAATGGATTCTCCATATAAGAGTGTACAATTAAACTATATACACCGTTTACAATATGATTTGATTATTATTTAATTATTGTGACATTTTCAGTTTAAAATGTCAAAGTCAAAAATCTCACGACATCCACTGTCAAACAAGATTTTTCATTTATTTAAATATTTTTACTTTCCTATCTGTATACAGATAAGGAAAGTATAGGAATCATGATTTTTTCGACCTCGAGTTTTCGACGGTTTTTTATTGTTTTGGGGTCCCTTGAATCCGTTTTGACCTTTTTTGCGATGATATCTCTCTCTCTCTGTGTGTGTGTGTGTGTGTGTGTGTGTGTGTGTGTGTGTGTGTGTGTGTGTGTGTGTGTGTGTGTGTGTGTGTGTGTGTGTGTGTGTGTGTGTGTGTGTGTGTGTGTGTGTGTGTGTGTGTGTGTGTTTGTGTGTGTGTGTGTGAGTGTGTGTGTATATGTGTGTTTGTGTGTGTGTGTGTGTGTCAGTGTGTGTGTGTGTGTGTCAGTGTATGTGTGTGTGTGTATGTGTGTGTGTATGTGTGTGTGTATGTGTGTTTGTGTGTGTGTGTGTGTGTGTGTGTGTGTGTGTGTGTGTGTGTGTGTGTGTGTGTGTGTGTGTGTGTGTATGTGTGAGTGTGTGTGTGTGTGTGTGTGTGTGTGTGTGTGTGTGTGTGTGTGTGTATGTGTGTATGTGTGTGTGTGTCTGTATCCTCGATAACTCATGAACGGGTACAAAGAAAAACACCAAAATTTAAACTTAAGCTTTATTCCAGCCTCCAGTGAAACGATTAGATTTTGGACAAAGTCGGAACATCTGGGGGGTACTTTATGGAAAGCCGTTTCTATATTTTATAAAATATATCTGTTATTTACGTTTGGAAAAGAAAATTCTTCAATTAAAAGTTACTTATAATATTATTATCTATAATTTTTAATTAATACAAAATTTTCCTAAAATGATCCGTATTCGAGAAATTTTACAAAATGTAAAAAAAAATAATTTTTTATAAAAATTGTTCAAATAAAAAAGCTTATAATAACTAGATAGAAAAGTCATGTGTTGGACACATCAGATTTTTTTAATAAAAGTTTAATTGAAATAAAAATCGTACTTAAAGTGTGCAAAGTGTATCTATATATTTAAATAAAATTTGTCGAGCACTTTTTGCAATCAAACCATCATCGGTAGTCTAAAAGGTTAACAGTTACAGCAAACTTTACAGAAAAAAATAAAAGTGCAACTTACAGAAGATCCCACAACTAAGAAAGTTAATTAACAATTATATGGAAAGTTAAAATAATATTTAAAGGTTTTAAAACTTAAGAAGCTCCGCTTGTTCCCATCAGGATTAGCATTTAAATTTTTTAATTAACACAGAAGAAAAACCTGCACATTTTCGTTTAATTCAATCATAGCTTAAATGATGGGTTGCCTTGTGGTGATGTTATTAACCAGCAGGATTTTGACCTGAAAGGCTGGTTATCTCTAGATATCCCTCAGCGTCGATTTTGTAACCCTCCGTAAGGGTAGTTACGTTTCACCGGGTAGGGTTGTATAGCCAGAGACAGGATTCGAATATAAAATAAAGGTTTATTCTAAAAATACTATATACAGAATACTATGTATAAAAAGTATAATCCCTGGTCCTAAATAAATCTTCGTAAAGAAAGTTTTGCGTAGATGATCCAGGTGGAGCTCGCTATATTTTGGTGGTCGTCTGCTTCATTAATGCTTCTTCGTAAACCAGCGTGCCACGATGAGAGAGTCGAGGCGTGCAAGGTCAGGTCTGGTATACGTGGAAGTCGGATTTCTGGACGCCCGTTCAAGTCAGTAACTTGAATGGAACGAAGTATCCTTAAGTCAGTACTTTAGGGATGGAAGATGCAGGAAAGTACGAAGGGTAATACCTTTCGCACCGAATAGGTTGTGTCCGACAGGTCAATACCCTGGCGAGCGGGGAGAAGGATTATCGACAAATCAGTACCTTTCTGATGGATCAGAAAGCCTCTTGAGTTAATACATTGCTAGACTGCCGTGTTGTCTTTGTAAAAACTCTACTTGTTGGAACTATGGGAGTATCATTAGCGGTGTTCGCCGGAACACCGTTACAAGTTGATAATCTGGAGGAATTTGACGAGCTAAGAAGATGGCTGTCTCTAGACACCACCCATCCTCAACTAACAGATTTTTGACGAGTTAATAACCTGCAGGACTTTGACGAGCTAAAAAGATAGCTGTCTCTAGACACATTCAGCATCAACCAGTAGGTTTTTGACGAGTTAAAACCTGCAGAACTTTGACGACGTAAGCAGATTGCTGACTATAGATATACCTCAGCGTCAAACAGCAATATATTGACGAGTTGATAACCTGCAGGACTTTGATGAACTGTGAAGATGACTGTCTCTAGACACCACTCATCCTCAACCAACAGATTTTTAACGAGTTAATAACCTGCAGGGCTTTAATGAGCTGGGCTGTCTAAGGACACCTCTCAGCGACAACTTGCAAGTTTTGACAACTTAAGAGGCAGGTCCTTTATGTCCCTGAAAAATGAGCAATGGGCCTTATGAGTCCTAAGTTCTGTGTAGCAACCCATTCTCCCCAACTTATAGATACAAATAGTTAAAATGGTAGGAATAATGTCAACAAGTAATATGCAAAAATTCGTATTCATTTTTATGTGCCACCATTCAAATAAATATAATTGTTATTAATTTGTCCTAGTACAACCAATTAAGTAATCAATGAATAATAAATAATTAATTAATATTAGCTAGAAATGTATAATTACAATAATAGATAAACATAAATTATATAATTATTCATAATGAATTATTAAATTATTCTATTACTTAAATTGTATGAATAATAATAAAAATCGGCCATATTGGCCAGTCATTTTTCTGTTAAAATTTTTTGTTAAATTCCTTCATCAGCTACCTCAGAAAACGTTATAATTAAAATTTTATTAAACAATGATATTTTTTATCATTTTTGTTTCTGATATTGGATCCGCCATTTTGTTACCTACTTAACGTTCCTAATCAGTCACCTCTAATAGCACTATATCCGAAATTGTATGAAAATATGATTTTTGTCCACCATATTGGATCCATCATTTTGTTTGTCAATTTTAATCAGAGACCTCAAAAAATCCTATTATCCTATTACAATTTAAATAATTTTTGTCTGCCATATTGGATCAGCCAGTTTGTTCCTAATAATTTTTGTTCAGATTCTTAATCGGCGACTTCTAAACACCATATTTCTGAAATTTTATAAAATATGACAATATTTTTTCCGCCATAATGGATTCCACATATTTTTTTATAATAATTTTTGTTTGCCATTTTGGATCTGTTATTTTTTTTTCTAATAATTGTTGTTCAGAGTCCCAATCAGCGATCTGTAAGAGTCTATTTCTGAAATTTTATGAAAATATGACCATTTTGTTTTTATTTTGATACGCCATATTGAGTCCGCCATTTTTTTTTTTTTTTTTTTTTAGTTTAGTTCAGATTCCTAATCAGCAACCTCAGAAAACCCTATAATCAAAATTTCATTTAAAAAATGACAATTATCATTTTTGTCTGCTATATTAGATCCGTCTTTTTGTTATCAATTTTATCATTTTTGTTTAGATATGCCATTTTGTTATCGAAGTTTTTAATTTTTGTTTCCTAATCGGCTAACTTGAAAAACTTTATATTCGACCTTTATGAAAATATAACAATTTGTTAAATTTTTGTCCGCCTAGATCCGCTATTTGTTTCTCAAATTTTTAATTTCAGATTCCTAATTAGTGACCTCAAATAGAATATTGCCTTCATATTATGAAAATATAACAATTTGTTAAATTTTTGTCCGTCTAGATCCGCTATTTGTTTCTCAAATTTTTAATTTCAGATTCCTAATTAGTGACCTCAAATAGGATATTGCCTTCATATTTTGATCACATTTTCTAAATTTGGAATCACAAGGGACAGTTCTTGGTCCCATTCTCTTTACAATATACAATAATAATCTACTTACACTTATAACTTTTGGAGAGATAACAAGCTTTGCTGATGATACTGTCATCTTTTATACTGCAAATACCTGAAATAACCTGAAGAAAAAAACCATAAGTAATATTATAGATTGGTTTAATTACAAATTGCTTACAATAAACTTCGATAAAACTATGTTTTTACCTATAACAAGCTATAAAAATAATCTTCCTAATTAAAACAAGCTAGAAATCAACAATCACGGTAACTTAATAAATATTAAACAAACAGATAAAGTAAAGTATTTAGGAATAACTATTGACAACCATCTCCGTTGGGACTATCATATTACTAGTGTTACAAAAACTCTTAGGTCATTACTAGGTAAATTCAAATTTTTAACAAAAATTTTGGACTTACCTCTTCTTAAAACACTTTATTATGCATTGGTTGATTCTAGCTTCTCCTATGGAATTGTAGGATGGGGAGGAGTAACATATACTCATCTAAAAAAGCTAGAAGTAGTCCAAAAATTATTTTTAAAAATAATACTTCAGAAA